GGCCAGGCCTGATTCCTGACCGGATCCCCGAGACAGGGCTCCTTCTCCTCATACTGAGGTCCCCACCCCCACACTCTGCCCCATTGAGTCCCAAGCTACAGTCCCTGCAAACCAAGCTGACCCCTCATGCCTCACCCCAGGTCCCCCCACCATCCAGAGATGATCCCCTCCTCCCGGGATTACCCCCTACCCCTCAGCCGGATCCCCCCAACTCTAAGCGCCCCTCACCCAGGGACGGCCAACTCACTCCTCAGCTGGGTCACTCCCACTCCCAGCGGCCTCTCACCCCTCAGCCTGTCCCCCGTCACCGCAGGATTCCCCCCTCACTCCCAGCGCACCCCCTACGCGGGGATGACCGCCCTCACCCTGCCAGGGGCAGGATGCTCTGGGCCTGGTCACCATGGCGTCAGCCGCCAGATGGGGGTCCCGTGCAGTGTGCGGGCACACAGCCCTGTGTCCTGTGTCTAAGGCCCGCGGCAGCGGCGCGGGGGGTGGAGGAGTGGGCAATGAAGGCAGCACCAATTCCCACCAGGGCGCCCTGCCTGCCCAGGGCCTTATCTGAGCCAGCAGGTCAGGGTGGTCCCTGGGCTGCACACTGCTCACCAGTCGGCCTTGGCGGGTTGATGGCCCGGATGGTGAACCGGGACACCAAAGGCGGAGGCCCTGTGCACACGGACCTGCGAGGGGCAGGGTACGGCGATTCTGGGCATGGACAGCAGGCAGCGGCAGCGGCAACGGCAGCGGTGGGGGCTAGGGGCGGCCCTGCCAAAGACAATCAAGTTGCTCCCATCACCCCCATGGCCTGGCCTGGGAGAGGCCTCTTCTGCTCCAGCTTCATGGACCGCTCTTCTCCCTGTCAGCCTCCTCCTGGGAGGCGGGCGGGGTGTGGTCAGTGGGATTTGCAGTGGCATTGGGGGGGGTGGAATTGGAGCTGACCCTTGAGACCGCGGGGATTTGATCCCATTTCACGCTGTCCCTGTCACCGCCCCGGCACACGGACTGCACCATGCCCGCCTCCCAGGAGCAGACTGACCTGTAACCTGTGACCCTCGACCCGCGGACGTGGGGCAGCAGAGGCCGCCCCCAGGACAGGACGCGGGGGAGATGGGAGCAAGTCGACAGGCCCCCAGCTGCAGACCACTTCGCCTCCCAGGAGCAGGCTGGCCGCGAGACGTGCACCCCGCCAACATAGGGAAGCAGAGGCCACCCCAGCCCAGGCCGCGGGGGAATAGGGAACAAGCCCAGGGCCTCACACGGGGAAGCACCCATCCCACCGCGGCGGCCCCGTGACCGCACCGCACCCGCCTGCCGGGAGCAGGCCATGACCCAAGGGCCGGTCGGAGGTGCTCCGGGGCCGGCCAGCGCCCTCCCACCTCCCGGGGCTGCACCCGCTTTTCCAAACGCGGGTAC